CCCTAAGAGCCTTTTACATCAAAATTATTTTTTGAAATTTAAAATTTTATAATTAGATATAAAAAATAGATTTTGAAATAATCCTAAGAGCCTTTTACATCAAAATTATATACCATGATAAAAATTTGAAGGTGCTAGTTATCTCTACAGCTACTGATGCACCCCTAGTGCAACTTATTTCTACAGCTACGAATGCATCTGTATGCCAACTGCACCCCTACCATGGCGGTCATTCTGTTTTTATTTTTTGTTTTTATTTTTGATTTTATAGTTACAATTTATGCCACGTCATCTTATGATGTCGATCAACAAGTTTGTACTAAGATAAGACGGTTTAGCTTTGGCACACGAACATAATTGTCCATTGTTGGATGTAAAATTAGATGGATAGGTGGGGATGTGATCGAACTTCAAGAAAGCTGTTCTCAAACTTTGTGAGGTGGCCTTAACACCCTATTTCACATCCGATGATGAAGGGTGATTATGACTTGGCACTAAGGCCAAATGTTTTTAAGTATTCAATCTCCATTCTATTTTGGAAAAAGTTTATACGGAGCTGATGCTATGAACAATCAAATCATAGTGTACCTCAAAAATTTTATTAGAAGAAGTGGTTTTGATGTCCAAATGTCTTCAAATTTATCATCTCAACATCAAGATGCATGGCATGGGAAGCATCCGAGGCCCATCGAATTACATTTTTAGAATGGCCCTCTACAAATATAGTTTGGCTCCATTGAGGGTTGAACAGTTTGAGGCCTTTGAGAAGAAGTAAGGCCTTGGCCGTTTGAGAATCTGAACATTCGATATGTTTGGAGAAAGAGGCGATGGTGTCGCCCTCATGATTCCTAAAGACTCCACATATATAGGGCTTGGAGGGATGGCTAGACTAGGTGAACCGGGCGCCGTGAAGAAAAAGATGTCACATATATACGGGTTGGAGGAATGGCTAGACCAGGTGAACTGGGCACTGTGGCGAGGGCCATCAAAGAGGTTATTCCTAGATATGAAATTAGAAAACTCGAGCATTTCTAGGGAAATATTAGAACTACAATTGTGCTCGAAAGACCAAAAAATAACATTAAAATCTCCCCTAATACACCAAACTAGATGGGAAAGGAAGCCACAAGATATAGTTCTTCCCAAAACTACTGCCTATTGCTATCTGTATTAGTATCATAAACCACCATGAACTTTAACATGAAGCCGTTGAAAGTTCTGGTGACCACTACTGTAACCGAAAAGAAAGCAATATAGGAAGAGGCAAGGGCATGAATTGTTGGGTCCACCATCTAGATTGTTGAATATCAGGATAACCCAAGATGCAATTACAACACTCAAATAAAATGCCCAAGATGCAATTACAAGTGCAATATAATTGAAAAAAATAAATAAACAAGAAGGCAAGCAATATGGAAAATCATCAAAGAACAACACAAATGAAAGTAGATATGGACATGGACATATACGTGGTTCACCCAAGATGGGCTACGTCCACGGGTAAGATGGCAAAGATGTATTCACTATCAAGACGAAAACTTACAAATTTGGGGTTATGTAGAGTTACTTTATATAATTTCAAGGAAAGCTCAAACAAAAGAACTTTCTACCCCAAAACCACCCACAATCGACTCATTTATTTGATTCACCGATGCCACGAATAAATGCTGATAAAATGGCCCAACTCGAACCCAAATGGTGGTGTTAGGGTTTTCTTGCAAAATCCCAAATTTCCAATCCCAAGCTTCTCTCTAAGTTTCCTTCTCCACACAAGAGCTCATCACTCTTCAAATCACGTTTCTCTATAAAAAAAGGCCCTTTCATGAGCCTTCACTAAAAATCTTGTTTTAGTGACAAAAATACCCCTCACCATAGTGAGAATACCATAGGTATGATCTTTGCATCACATCCCAACAATCTCCACCTTGATGCAAAATCACATCCTTTCCCCCACTTTTTTCCTTTCTTTAAATCAAGCGAAGTTAGGCTCCATTATAACTTCCCTACTTGGATGAGCTTCGTAAGCATATCCGCAAGGTTATATTCGGTCTTGATCTTGACCAATTAAACTCTTCTATCTTTAACAACTTGCCGGATATAGTGATATTGAACCGATATGTGTCTTGACCTCTTGTGGTGAGCTGGGTTCTTGGCCAAATGGATAACACTCATATTGTCACAAAATAGTTCTATGGGCTTACACACAATGCCCATCTCACCCATCAAACCTTGAAGCCACACAACTTCTTTTGATGCTTCTGTTGCTGCCATGTACTCGGCTTTGGTAGTTGACAATGCTATAATGTCTTGGAGCTTTGACATCCAACTTACCGGTCCATTTACAAATAAAAAAACAAATGCGGTAGTTGACATACTTCTATCAAGATCACCTACAAAATTTGCATCCACAAAACCTTACATTTGGGTTGAGCCCTTGCCAAATGTGATTGCATAACTAGTTGTGCCTCTTAAGTATCAAAGCACCCATTTTGTTGCTTCCAAATGAACCTTTCTGGGGTTTGCCATAAACTGACTTAGAACACCAACCGCATACACGATATCAAGTCTTTACATACCATGTCAAACATTAAACTTCCAATTGCATTTGCATAGGGCACCTTAGCCATGCTTTTTCTTTCTTCTTCTATCTTCGGACTTTGCCTTGAAGACAATTTGAAGTGAGGCGCTAGAGGTATCTTCACCGGCTTTGTATTTTTCATGCCAAAATTTTTAAGCACCATTTCTATGTAACCCTTGTGAGATAGTGACAAAATTCCATTTTGTCTATTCTTTTAAATTTCAATACCAAGGATTTGCCTTGCCAGCCCAAGATCCTTTATCTCAAATCTTTTGCTCAAAGATGTTTTGAGCTCATCAATTTTAGGTTTATCTTTGCATACCAAAAGCATGTCATCCATATATAAAACTAAAATCAAGTATGTACCATTATCAAAGAACTTTAAATAGATGCAATGGTCATACTTACTTCTTGTGTACCCGAGGCTCTTCATGAACATATCAAATATTCTAAATACCATTGTCTTGATGCTTGCTTGAGCTCATACAAGAACTTCTTCAATTTGCACACAAGTCATTCTTTGCCCTTCTCTATGAAACCTTCCGGTTGTTGCATGTGCACTTCCTCTTCGAGTTCTCCATGGAAAAATGATGTCTTCACATCCATTTTCTCAAGCTTAGTCAAGCTTTGTCCCGACCTCGTGGGGGAATGCGAGGACAACTTCTTAGAAGAAGGTTGGAGTAGTCCAAGAGGGGAAATGCCATCAGCTAGCGTCAGTCGAAAGATTGCCAGCTTAGTGTGAAAAAGTTCTTCTTGGGCCGGGTTTGGGGTAACGTCTTTAGATTCGTTGTAGAGGCCTAGATGACCGAGGGGCTCTTCCACTGCCGGAGGAGGCTCTATTATCGCAGGTGGGGGGATCGTCGCGGAAGTAGAGTTAAAGAAGTTGGGAATAGAGAAGGGTTAAGACTAGCAAAAGGGGAGAGTCCTGTGAGGGAAGACTTTAGGGAGGCAACTTCTTTCGGGGTGGGAGTGAGGGGGGAGTAAGGGGCCAGGATGATCACTAAAGGAGGTGGGGCCTCCAGTAATGGGGATTAGCCTGGAGGGATGTTAGTAAGGCCAGAGGGGGAGGGGAAAGAGACACAAAGCCGAGTACCTCCGTCATAAGAAAGGACATGAGGGGGGAAACAATAGGGGATTGTAACAATGACAAGGTCATCGTTGTAAGGGTTTGTAGGTATTTCTACTCGAAAAGGCATGAGAGAAGGGTCCACCAGGAACCGAGGGTCCATGTTGGGGGGTTGCTTCTTGGGTAGGAGTTCGTTGTAAGGGTTTGTAGGTATTTCGACTCGAATAGGCATGAGAGAAGGGTCAACTAGGAACCGAGGGTCCGTGTTGGGGGGTTGCTCCTTGGGTAGGAGTTCGAGGGAGGCCTTCCTTAGCCAAGAGAAGAGGAATTTCAGAAAAAGGGGAGGGGAGAGAAATGGTTGCATGGGAGCAGGGAGAGAGCGGGTCAGAGTTGAAGGGAGCTAGAGAGAGAGGGGAATGAGAAAAACGTGGGGATAAAGGAAAATATGGAGAAAGAGTGGAGATACTAAGAATGAGAGGGATCTTGGGGGCAGGAGAAGAAGTAAGAGAGGCTGAGGGCCATGACAGAGGTGACAAACCCAGGGCACAAAGAGATGACAATCAGGAGGCCCAGGGAGAGAGCCGAAGGAGATAACCGGGAGGGGAGAAGAGAACGACGGCAATAACCGAAGACGGAGGTGGAGGAAACGAGGGGGGAGGGCGAGAAGAAAGGGGCAGAGAAGGAGGTAGAGGAAGAGAAGAAGAGGGAGGGAGAGGGGGAGAAGAGAGAGGATGGGTCCCAAAATCGAGGATGGAAGTCCTTCTGTCGGCAAAGGGTTGAGGCTGTCTGGACAGAGGATAGCATTGTATTGTCCAGAGGGTGAGGTGGCTCTGCTATTGATGGTTCAACAACAGGAGCAAGAGAAAACCGCTGGGAGGCTGGGGGTACGTTTTCACGAAAAGAGAAAGCGACCCGATTTGAGTGGAAGACGGCAGGGTAGGTGGGCTCACCGCTCGATGAGCTGCGGAATTGGCAAGTGGTTGCGAAGCTTCTGTAGGGGGTGAGATGTGTCCAGTAGGTGGAAAGGCTTTGCTGAGGTACCCAGATCGCGAGGGATCTCGATTCCCTCCCGAGGTGGACCTTGATGGAATCGTGGGTTAGGTGGCTGAAATTGACTGTCCTTTTTCTTTATAAAAATCACCGTCCACTAGTTTCATCTCTTCGGAACGTGTAGCGTCGGCTTCTGAAGATTGGGCTCCCAAACCTGCTTCCGCCTGGAGGCATCGAAGAAATGAGGGGAAGGAGGGGAGGCTGAGGACCAGGACAAAAACACATGGTAAAAATGACCTCCAATCTCCAATTAGAGGAAAGGGGTGATCGTTAGAGGATTCAAAACATCGATGATGATGAGTACAGTGCCCAATGGAAGATGTTCCAAGGACTGCTAGTGAACAACAACGAACGACCCGCAAGCATTGCCGATGGCCTTGAACGTTTTGGAGCTCCAAGAGTAAAAGGGAATGCCAGAAGCAGTTAGCCAAATCATTTTGCTCCTATATGATCCCAGATCTACGGATCATCTGGAGAGCGAGAGTGAAGCCCCCCGAAAGAGAGGAGGGGATGAGTTCAGTGCCCTAAGAGTACTATCTTATGAAGAGAGAGAATAACAATGAGCCATTAGATAGTTTTCTGCAGAGCAAAGAAGAGTTTGCCCAGAAAGCTTTTCCCCATCTCTCTATGCCACAGGAGTCATCTTGTCGAGGAAAGAAGACCCCAACTAAAGAGGTTTTGAGCTTGTCTGCAAGGAGAAGAGAGGGCTCCTGGGAACGAAGATTAACCTCGGCGAAGGAGAGAGGGAGGGGAAGGAGGGTTTAAGGGGGGAAGAGGGCTTAGGATTCATAGGTTTTCCTGATGATAACATGATCATAGAATGCAATGATGTATGAACCACAATTACCTATGAGCAGATCAATAAATTCCAAGGATCGACATTTGAATTATTGTGAAATAACATTGTTCACAACCTCTCAAATTGACCACTGGGGGGACCTGTTTGAGCTCCATTTGTTATCATCTGCCAATAAGATCTTAAAAGATAGCAGTGTTAAAAGACAGCTGTGATAGCAAGTTGTTATAGCGAGCTGCCAACAAGATCTTGTTTTCAATAATTTTAATAATATTAAAATAATTTTTTAGAACTTTCTGGATATTTTATTTCATCAAAATTAAATTTTAAATAACTTTGAACTATATTTTTATGTTTTTAATACTTCGAGAGAGAATAAAAATACTAATAATTTTCTAAAAATCATTTTATAAGTTTCAAAATAACTTAATTACTATGAGGGCCCATAATATATAAGGGCCACCATATTGGGTCCACCTTGGTAAGGGTGTGGGGCCCAATATACAACGAAGGGGGTGGGATACCCCACGTTTCTCACCTTCTATTTTTGTGGCTTGTGCCATAAGTCAAGCAAGATGATTTGAAAAAAAAATAAAAAGGATTTGAAAAAGAGGCTAATTGATTTAAAAAAGAGAATGAGTAGAGACTTATTGAAAAGAAAATGAAAGGTTTGTCATTGTTTCTCTAAATTTAATATAGGTCAAGGAAGTTGAGGGATGATATTCTAACACTTTCTATTAGATCAGAATGGCTGATAAATGGATTGTGTGACTAAGATCTCTCATCCCACAGGTCACCTTTGATTAATAGTTAAGCTAAAATCTGATAAGGATGCCAAACCATAAAAAAATCCTAACCCTAACCGTCGGGGGGGGGGGGGGGGGCACACGCCCTAAGGTTTTCCTGAAACAAAGAAAGGGGCACACCCCACAGTGTCAGCTGCAAAGGGGTCCCATATTGTGTGATTTCCCTCTAATAACTAGTAGGGTTTTGGCGTTATTTTCTATTTGTTGAGATTCAAGAAAGACCTAGGTCTTGTGTGCCATCGGTGGAGGAGTCTTGATGTGGGGGCATAAAAAGTCCATTAGAGGTAATCTTTTGGCATCTGTTTTCTTGCTCCCAGATTTCATTTGATGTAATTTATTTATGTAATGAAGAGTTTTGAAAGTGGCAGCAAATGAGAATTGTATTTTTTTTTCTTTATTTGAGTTTAATTTATAATATTGAAACATATGTAAGTGTTACAAGCCGATATCACAAAAGACAATTTTAAACCATATGGATTGTGCTAGTTCACGTCATCCACTTTCATTCATATTAGAGAGGTTTTTTGCTGCTAATATTTTATTTTATTCGTTATTTTGTACTTTTTGGGACAAGAAAACATGGTAGCAAGACGTTTCATCACTAAAATTTTAAAGATGGAGAGATTAGCTTGAGATGGTAGCGATTTGATCTAGGCTTGCGACACCTAGAGCCCAGGGTCCAAGGGGATAGTCTTACCATGCTCCACAGTCTGGATATGGCGGTCGGAGGGAAGCAAAGTGAAATCCCAAGTGAGAGAGATGCAGTAGAAGCATCCCACAACTTCAGGCCAAATGATGCGGGAGGGGGGAGTAACCTTCAGATCAAGGACCTCTGCCAATAACTGGATGGTGCCCAAAGGAAAGAATTCGGCGAATTTCCAGTGGATGGCAATGAAAGAGCCACAACTATTGCTGATGAGTTTGAAGATATCTGGGTTCCAGGTATAGAGAGGGATGCAGGCGGCCCTGACCCACATTCTTTGTTTCTTAAAAGCCCTGGTGTCCTGCGACCAGCAGCAAAGGGTGAGTGTTGTGCCCTTAGAGGACCAAGGTGAGGAGGATTGAAGGATCCCTAGCGCACAGTTCTCAAGTGGGAAACTGGAAAGAATAGTTCCGTCCGAAAGCTTTCGGCATGCAAGGTCAGGTGTGTTGTCCCTATTTTTCAATATTTCTGAAGTCATCCGACGGGGATGAATGATGCCAACTGGGTATCTGAGAAGCTTTCGTTTTTGTTCCAATGTTTTCTCAGGAGGGATGGAGATGAGATAGGGGTTCTGAGGGAGAGGGGAAATGAAGAAGGGGTATGGAACGAGCCATGTGGATATGGAATAGGAGGGATAACTGAAGGTGTAAGGTGGGAGGAGGATGGAAAGATGGGAGTACAGCTGACGAAGAAAAAGTTGGACGTTGGTAAGCGGGAGGTTCAGGAAACGAGAATGGTTTTTGTGGAGTGCTGGGTAGGGCATGCCCACAACCTGCGGAACAGCCTGAGACAGGCGGTGCTAAATTCCACCGGATTTGCGCTCAGGCGGTCCTAATTTGGTTAAAGATGGCCCATCTGCTTGTTAATGGTTTCAAATATAAGAAGACCTCAATTTCCTACTAAACTGCGACATTATAGCCAGAACTCTCAACACTTGGTCCTCTGCTAATATCAATGACAGGGCGCGGGAGCGTCTTCTCTCTCTCTCTGTCTTGGATGGGTATGCTCAGATTTGATCTGATGTGATCATGATTAGTTTTTTTTACCAATTCCTGGTATTCCACAAAATTCTTCCAATTTTATTTTCTTCTTGTGAAACATTGAAGCAAAAAAGGACAAAAAGACAAAAGCTCTTTAGCAGACACCGATTATGGCTAAAGATCTTTCCCTCGATAAATAATGCATAGGCAATGATACATCATCACGAAATATGGGAAAAAACGACAACAATGACTTCATAAGACAGATTAATTACATGATAACCATGTCTCAAAGTTGTGGCTACCTTGAGACCGGGCAAAATGAGAAAAACCACCACACATGGCAAAATCTTCTAGAGGAAACCCATGGCGACTACAAACATTTCGGTGCTTCTATAGAAGTTGTACAGCTGCAATAGCTGGTATCTTTTCCCTCAACTTCTGTGTAACTGCCACTCTCACAGTCATTACCCCTGCAGCAGGCCCTGAGAGTCGAATTTTCACAATAGGTTCTTCGATCTTGACAAGTTCAAGCTCTCCCCCACCCGTTCCTACAAGGTAAGGTCTTATTTCTTCAAGTACCTGTTAAGACAATAAAAGAAATATCTTTGAACATGTTGATTATTGGATACTAATGCGGAAGGTTCCAAAGTATGATAACGCGTTATGGACATGAGATATTCAGCTTAACATGAACAGAGAAGTGATCCACAATGTTGTTTTTCATTTATTATTTTTTTTGCTCATTGAATGGCACAAATTATTACTTGAAATTGTTAAAATGGAAGCCCTTCCAAAGAGCATTAGTTTAAAATTGAATCAACTAATAATAGCCAAGGAAAGATTGGTTATGGGAGTACGGTATAAGGTTCTTGCAGCTCAACTTATAGTTACGAAAGTATATATTAAGATACAATCGGCTACTTCAAGTCAGAAATGCTCATGATGAAGTTTTTACTGACTCATAAAATCTAAGGACCGTCCTCAAGTTCTCCACTTTGATCGAGAGAAATATCACAAAGAACCATGTCATCAACAAACTGAAGGGGTGCCCTTGTCAAATTAGTACCTTCCACTCTCTCTCTCTCTCTGACCTTTTCAAATTAGTAACTCTCTCTCTCTCTCTCTCTCTCTCTCTCTCTACTACACTAGTACGTCGTACGTACTACTTACGTTGTAGTAGTTAATTTAACTTTAAAGTTAACGTACGTACGACGAAGTAAGTAATTAAGTAAGGTAACGGT